TTGTTGCAGCCCTAATTGAATCCAGTTTATCTAACTTAATTGATTGAGTTTCTAAGTTAAGAAATTAAATAAATAAGTAAAGGAAGCTGAATTAAATCACTTGTTACCAATTAAAGGAAAGTTTGAGCTGCATTTCTTCCTTTTTAGAGTTCACTTCCTTCTAGAAGATGGGGAAGTTGGGAAAAAAGGCTTTAACCTGTGAAGCAAATGTTGCTGTTTTTAAATGTGCTGATTTATGCATCTTACAAACTGGGCCACATCTTTTCTGATGATTATGACCCGTATGTTCAATGTTAGGAAATGTCTGGATATTTACAGGATCAGCCGTTATATAAAGGACAGTAATTTAAAGCCGAGCGCCTGAAGCTGGAAGCCCAGTTTCTCATTGAGTTGCTTTGTAATTTAACACCAGATTTCGAATCCTGTTTCTGTTTTCAGGCGACACTGATTGTGTTCAAAGATGAGCTTCTCCTCGAGCCAAAAGCATTGTCTCTTTGTTCGTGCGTAAAGTGAAACTGCACTTATATAACCTAAACCTTTTTTAGATTACTGGTTTATCTCCTTCTTTGTAGTACGTTGTCTTGGAACGATGCCGAACCGTAACAGATGTTGTCAGGGATGTAGAACAGGTACCAACAAGAACAAGGAATGTTTTTCACCTTGCTGCAAGTTTCACTCTAATCTTCTTAATGATTAACATGAAAATAAGAAAAAAACAGAAGCTTTTTGTTTTTACATATAAAAACATAATCATGTGGGTTGATGTGTAATATTATTATATTCTGTTTTCACCCTTCTCTCCCATTTTGTACATAAGGTATCACCACAATCTAATCTCTGTTTATAGTCTAAATTTACCATCTGCTGTGTATATAATCCCATAAAATCGCTTTAAATGGTTTTAATTTCTTCTGTTCTTGTGATCTGCGTAGATTTCTTATTTCATTTTCTTTTTTAATCACAATGTGGGGAAGTTCCTGACCTGTGCTTCTGCTGCGAGAAGCTTTCTCTTCTGCTTTCCATATCTGCACTCTGCTGTGTTTTTTTGGGAATGGTTCAGGATTTTCCAAGTATTCAGTTGGATCAGATAACTTTGCTCCTTTAGTCATTGTCTAAACCGGATTAGCCTTCTTTTGCTTTCTCTTCATTTTTTTCCTTTCTCTTTCATGTAAATGACTTCTTTGTAAATAACAGCGTTGAGTTTTTGTTTCTCTGTTTAACTCTACAGGTTAATATTCACTCTGTTCTTTGTAAAATAAATTGTGATTCTTAAAACTGAAAATTTGACGTAAAGCTGTACTGATTTGTTTCTTGAATAAAAAATCTGAATCCTGAAGGGGAAAAATGTGCAGTTCTTTGATCCTCTTGGATCATATCCATTAAGAGGAATTTCATTTTAAACTGCATTTAAACTCAAACTGACAACTTTAAGAGCCTTAAAAAGTCAAAATCTGCATATAATTTAGGTCCTGAGAGTAATGGGACCAGAAGGTTTGATGGTCAAACAGAACCTAATGTAAAATTCTTGCTCTAATTAAAGCTGACTGCAGTCCAATAACTGTAGAATAGCCTCTACAAGAGAGAGACTTCAGGAGCAAAATAATGTCTTCAAAGTAAATGATTGCTTACACACCACAAGTCCGTCCATTGTTGTCCTCTTAAAGTGCCTGATTAGCCAGGCGAAAAGTTAAAGTGTAATCGTTGATCTCTGCCCACTGCTCACCATGATATTCTAATTTAAATTAAAATAACTCCAATTGGGGAAAAGTTAAAATGATTAAATGTGCATAAAATCCCTTTCTTCAAAAAGTC